TATATATATGTAGCCACGGAGTTAACTTTGAGCGTAACAGGCAAAAATACATGAATAGAATACTTTAATATCAGTCTACCTTCCTTACTCACTTTTATGTATTTGTTTAATTGTTTATTGCGTAATTATATATCTTTCTATACCTGTCAGCTGCAGTTGTGGTTTATTGAATACTTGGTTCTGTGGTTGAGCTAATTTACTTTGGGTGTTAGATGGCATTAAATCACGTACCTGAAAAAACTTGGATCCAGTTGATTTTTCATGACCTGGATGACTGCGAATCTGCACGGATAAATCACGTAGCCGCTCTTTTTGTGTGCTTGTCTACGTCTTTTTTTGGTTGTGTGGATACATTTTGGTTCAAAACCATTGTTGTAAGGACACTTCGGACAGTCCTAACAACTTCAGCCGGCGATTTGAGGGTTAGGGTTTGTGGTTTGACCTGTCGATGGTTACAGTTTGGGTAGGGGGGCTAAGGAATGCATTGTGTCAGAGAGTGTCATCGTAACTGTGCAAAGAAAAGCGTGTGTGTATCTTTGGATTGGTGGCTGTCAGCTCCAAGCCCTGCTGTGATCCTCCTCACCTTACTGGTTCTGCCACACATGCTGGTTTCTACCTGCCTGCCAAAGATTTCACAATAGTTTCGACTCTGCATTCCCTCATAGTTGCGTCTTCTTCTATCAGTGTATTTACTGAGACACTATTTGACTAAGGATGACCCAGTCCACTGAGACTAATGCCTTGCTGTTCTGGATAGTTCCCTGCTCTCTGTTTGGCACCTGACAAATCAAAGGTCTTCCTTACACTGGTGCCAGGTAAACGCTAATGCTGCTATAGAGCAGTCCTCCTCACTGATGTTTAACATTGTCCATGCTGGTCCAGTACACAGATATTAAAGGGATGGATACCGCTGTACAAATGGTATGGGAAAATCTCTAATGATATATTTTGTCATCAGTAAATCACATTATATTGCTCAACACTAATGATATCTTTAATGAAAGCATCAGGTACATTTATTGCTATTATAATTTATTAACACAACTGGCCTTTGCTCACTGAGGTCTCATCCTTTAGGTTGTTAATAAGCTCCATTGCCCTACAGGTAGTTTGATGTTACACCTAGTGTCCTTGTTATTGCCTTATTTTACATTACATAGTAACAACTCACACATAATAGATAACATTTTAACAACCAAACACATAAAACTGTTTGCATTTGTATCATTTGTGATCAGTGTATTTTCACATAACCCTAGTGAAGGCTTCTGTGTAGGAGCCCAGGTAGCTATAAAGTGGGTGTTTGAAATACTTCAACACTGTTGACAGTGCATGAGTAGCTTGACAGTGAGTGGAGACTACAAAGCCCTTTTTGTGTAACTAGAGCCACTCTGTGGGCTCAGTAAAGCTCTGGAGTATTTGTCCTTCAAAGTGCCATATTTACACAGAGAAGATTTGCCATTCCTCATTAGCCACTAACTATTGTACACTGAAGCCCATTCAAGGCTTTCTGTCATTAATATTTATCATGAATAATGCATCGGTCAAGCATTCAAGTTGTGTACCAAACTTAAAGTAGGCCTCTGTATCCACAGTGTGATGGAACAAGGTGGAGCTGAGCATTAGGCTTTAGTTTAAAATGAAAGCGATGTAGAACAGCCTCTGCTGGCATCGGCTGGAGCCAGGAATGAGCGACTGTTTACCAAGTAGAGGCGGCACACCTTTGCTGAGTGTTTGTTTTAGTAACAGTAGTGGTTGGAGGCCGTGCTCTGTTTTCTTCAGACCTATTAATTATTCAGGGTGTGGTTCCCTGGCTGACCAGAAGCCAGCTGTCTCACCTGGTTAACCCCAATCTAAGGACTCGTATCTATTGCAAAATTTAAAATCCTGACCTCAGTCTGTGGATGGAAGTTATGTAGCTTAGAAGGTAATGCTCTGTTTTTGTGCATCCTTCTGGTAAATGCTCCCTCCTCTCTGTTAGGTTATTTCTTAGTTAGATAGATATGGATTAGAGATCTGTTGTCTATGAATGTTTAGTGCAGACAGGGTGACTAGTTTGCTGTAACTATTCAGCCTGCAGTGAGGATTGCAGGCACGCCAAGGTTACAGGAAAAGAGCTTTTAGGGTCAACTGTAATGCTAGTCTTAATATTTGTCTTAAAGTGTAAGGTTATGTCCAATTGTTTAGATACACACCACGAAAACAACAGTCACGCACCTTGACTTTTCCTCATGTTTGGGCTAAACGTTATGGCAGCTGCAAAGCTTGCGTATCGGGTGGCGTCACGGTTTGACGCCCCTTGTAGCATGGGCTAGCCCAAAAATGATTAATATTATATAGGTTGTTGGGTCCAGGGTTCCTCAGCTTTCTGCTGCCTGCGCGCAGGTAGAAGGGTGAGAGAGCTCTGGACGTGTACTGTGAATTTTACCTGTGATCCTCTGAATAAACCAGCACGGTTATTTTTTATAAAATCTAAAGCAGTCTCTTTCGTCTCATTGAGAGTTCCTGGTTTGAAAGAACCGGAAGAAGCTACACAGAAATAATAGCTTATATCTCATACATGTTGGGTGCAAGTCACAGTGACTGTAGTCTTGACCAGGCAGGGTGCTGATAATCAGTCAGACACTGCAGCACACCCATGCTTCAGGGCATACAAAAAATGTAGTCAGACACTGCAGCGCGCCCATGCTTCAGGGCATACAAAAAATGTTCATCAGTGAGAGAGCGATACCATCAGAGCTCTGTGTCACCACTGTTTCCTGATCCTGAAATACAGAAAGGTCTGTGTAGGAACCTAGGAAACTTGACTCAGGGCAGGCAGACCTGTAGTGTAGCAAACACCCCATCAATTATTAACAGCCCAGCACTCTCATTCCCCTGACATAACCATAGCAACCAGCAGCCTGGGACCTGCTCTGTTGTGTGGGAAAAGTTAACCAGGACGCTCACATACCACTGACGGTGAGAGGAAGTGGACCTATCTGACTTAATGAACCCAACAGGAAGGGAATAATTAAGGATACAGATCATAACTGGAGTGTCTGACACATAACCCGATGTTTGATGCAAAGGAATGTCAATTTGTTGTTGTTTGTTTCCTTGTTTTCTAAGTTGAATGATTTTAGGTGTCCTCCTGCTGTGGCTTCTTTCTGCAGATTGTTTGGCTTTTTGGGAGATAGGCGTCTAGACAGGCGTCTATCACTGACAGTTTAAGATACACACCACTGAGCCATCTGGAGTTTAACGTGTGTATCAGTCAGACTCAAGTGAATGAGTGTTTTTTTTTTAACCAGAGGAAGGCGTCAGTTTTGGTATCATGAATCTGATGCAGCGAATTAAACTATTGAATCACTTTGGCTCTGTGCCTCCGGAGCCTCCCCCACTGCTGCTGGAGGTGCCTGTAAGTGGACAGATACAGTAGTACTGTTGCATAAGGATTCTCTGTGTTCTCCCTGTGTGTTCTTGTATTGTATTTATTTGTATTGCACTAGATTGCAGTCATTCTTTATAGCAACAGTGACATTATCATCTTAATACCTTATTAGGCGTTGTCAGCATGTTTTCTCTTTGAGCTTTAGGCAAGCCCACAGAAATTCATTTTTAATTTTAGCCAAAATCCCAATATTCACATTTGCACCAGTCATTTGTTTATTCATCAGTTATTCAAAATACATAAAGTCATGTGTTTAGAATTTGGGTTAATCCACCAAACCTTTGTGGTCACAGCTTCAGAAAAGCAAAGATTGGAAGGCTGTGTTTGCTCCATATTCTTTTAAAATAAAGCCAACATGACACAGAACTTTTGATACTGATTATAAAAAAAGATATGAACTTATAGAGTTTATTTTTGACAAACGTGCAATAGAATTTCTTTACATTTTAATCTAAAAGGATAAATTATACACAGACGCACATTCAACAAAGCATTAATGTACTGCTGTTTCCTTTTGTGCAGCTGCCAATATATGCACTAGTAACAATGATAAGTTATTTGCTATAATATTCACCCACCCATCAGTTTAGCTAAAGCAAAAATAAGTAAAATTCTGATGTGTTGTGATAAACATTATTATTTGACTTTTTAATAAACAGCTATTTAGTTGATTAACTGGGACAAATAGGCCAGCTAACAAAATAAATGTTCTTTAAAGACCTACAAATATGGTCTGTTGAATTATAAAATTTGTATCAAGCATAATTGTATTGGAAAAGTCAATATACTTTTAGTTGAGGGTTGGAGAAAGCTGTGATAGAATGTGTTATTTTCAGTATAGAGAGATGTGTTTTCATACTTGCCAGCTTTGAATTTTGCAGGACAAGGGGTCAGTTATTCCTGACATTTTCATTTCACTTGTTTTTGGTGCATAATCTTATATTTCAAAGGTCAGGTTTTTGATATCTGAAATGATATCACAGTAGGCTGTATGCCTAGCTACTTTTCTGATATTTTTCTAAGAGGGTCTGCAGTGTGTGCAGCAGTGCAGCTCCACCTTAATTCCATGTTTACCAAAGGGCACTGGAGTGGGCAAAGGCTACAAGGGGAGGAGCGCTCCAGGTGAAGGCTCCTTTTCTCCCTACTGAGAGAAGAACACGGCAGCTTTTCAATATACAAATCATTTCAGTGGAAGGATCGGGTTTCTGCTGGACAGCAGCCGTCACCCATACAGAGCTGATGTGAGGAGAAAACGTCCAGCGTTGGATGACTGTTGGATCAGTGATTGTTTTGCTTTTATTGTTGCCATATGGAATATAAAGAGCTGGCTGTTCTCTGAGCGCCGGAGGCCGCAGGTGTTTTGTATAGCTTAGAAATCCTAGTGGGAAATGGAAGTAAGGTTCAAAGACCAAGTGGTAAGTGAAGAGGGAGGGATACAAAGCATTGTTCTTCTACTGTCCCACTGTGTTTATCTGCCTGAAAGCACCTGTTAAAGTGAACAAGGGACACAGGTTATTACTGATCTGCACAAGTCTTCTGCAAAATGTTTCTTAAAGCTGAAGACACAGGAGTGCAGGCTGTGGGCCTAAACCAGACAGAAAGTCACTGTCAACTTTCTCTGTGTGGACAGTTCTTACTTTCTTGGGTAAATTTAGTTTGATAAATGTGACATCAATCATAGCTGCACCAGTGTACCTGTGATCCCCAGTGGGACAGCTGGGAGGTTGTCTTACAGTCTTGTTGGCTCTTTGCTAGTGCAGCCCTTTGATTCAGCTGTTACCTCTGCTAACTCTGGTTTATTATCCTCATTAAACTTGTTTCCTCTGGATGAGGTTTTGATCGGGGGAGACTCTCTGCACACATGCTACTGCTTGGATACTTTATCTTACATTAACTTATGTTTTATTAATCATACATATTGAACAGCCTCTTTCAGTAATGGGCTATCATACTCAGTTGTGAGGCCTGTTTGCTGCTTTTCCTAAATGCCCTATAGCTGCAGATTACTGCAGTAAGGCTACAGTTTCAAACAACATAAAAGTTTATGATTAACATGTTAAACGCCTACTGCACACAGCTAAACCTGTTTTCATACATTTTTGTGGTGATCATTGGTGAGAGTTCTGCTCATCAAAGATTAGTGTGATTTGCTATAACAGACTATGGGTGGGTTTATCTCAAAAGAGTGTGTTTGCAGGTGAATGAGTTTTGTTTTTTAGATTATGTGTTTCAGTGTGACAGGAAATGATACAATACTTGTGTTTCAGCTCAGTGAGTTGTTGTCATGTCATCAATGTCAGTGCCTTGTTGAACAAACTCCAGCATGTTGTTTTTAAATCACTCGACTTCAGCAGTACACCTCTGTGTCTCTGACTAGAGTAGCTGGCTTTACTCGTTCTTATTTCAGCAGGCTTCTTCCTCACTGAGTAAAATATAGTACATGGCCAGCCAGCACTTTGTTTGACTTGGTTTTTAAAACAGGTAGTATGAGAAAAATGATAAGCACAAGAGACATGTTATGTTAGTGAAGCCAATAAAAGTTCATGGTTTGCTGTGTTCATTAGTGGTTAATGTAAAACTGCCATGGGGAGAAAAAGTACTGGTTTTAGGACAGAAATGTACATGTTTGCTCAAGACAGATGAAGGAATAGAGGAGCGTTTATGTAACAGAGGGTGGGCTCCTCTTACACTGCTGTCATGACATCTTTTCTCAGGTGACCTCATAGCTAGGCTGGTGTGATTCTAACTCTGCTGCTGTTAATGACTTGTGAAATCATAGCAAGAAGGTCCCATAAAAGTTTGAAAGTTTGAGATTTAACAGCGAGTCCAGTTTCCTAGAGACCATATCCAGTAACCAGCCAGCCAATTATTACAGGCAAGTTTCACAGTTTCCTAGAGACCATATCCAGTAACCAGCCAGCCAATTATTACAGGCAAGTTTCACAGTTTTCTGACATTTTATAGACAACAACTGATTGACTTATTAAATAAATAAATGTAAGATTTATCTATGAAAAAAAATCTGATTGTCTGCAGCCCTATGTGTGAATGTTTTCTATTGTGTAAACTCAGTGAATAGGCTCCGAGTGTTGCACATTGTCAGCACCACAGGGATATAAGAGCCCCTCCTCCATACCAGTCAGGCAGGATTGAGACAGGTGAGAGTATGCTGGGATCAGGTTGAGTCATACGCACACTTCCTGCTCAGCTCAGGCTCAGCTGTTCTCCAAGTAAGAACCTGGGTTATTAATAACTTATGATTTAATACTCTCAGGGTTAAATATTGATTTGCTGAAGCATAGAATCCTTCTCATGGTTGTTGTGTGTGCGTTGATGGTGTACTGTACATTTTTTGATTTTGCAGAAACCAGGCATGGAAGAGTTAACAATATGGGAGCAACATACAATAACATTAAACAAAGTAAGTGTATTTTTTTTTAATTCATATTCTGCTGTTCTTTATTTCAGAGTTAAATGTCAGGGGTTATGATGAAGACACTGCTGTATGTTATAATTTACTTAAAATATTTCATGAAGTTCACTAGGCACTAAAGTAAATCCAATGTACAGACCATTTATCTTTGGTGCATTAGTCTTATTTGTGCTCAGTGGCTGCATCAGTGCAGAACTGAATTTCGAGCCTCGACGGACCTCATGCAGGCAGTTTCAGTATCGTTTTTGAGGGTACTGTGCCAGATTTACTGGGGTAGCGCTGGAGTGTTAGGCCTCTCAGTTCCACGGTACAGACTCCAGAAGGAATTCAGAGTGACACGCCTTGCTGCACCCCACTGCACCATCTGCCTTGTCACGTCCTACTGAACTCTGCTGGAATGTGCTCGTCTCCCTCTATCTACAGTCTAAATTGTTAAAATTTTTCGATTTAGTGGGATATAAGACTGCAGTGTTTATGTATAAAGCCAGGAACAATTTATTACCTGGTGGAATTCAAAAACTATTTAATGAAAGGGAAGGGGGATACAATTTAAGGGGTCAGTTAAATTTAAAAATTCATGCTATACGTACAACCAAAAAAAGATTTTGTATTTCCATAAGTGGGGTAAAACTATGGAATAATTTAACTGTGGACATGAAAAATAGTAATAGAATTGATGAGTTTAAACATAAATATAAAGGTATGTGTCAATCAAGATATATGTTTACTGATTGCAAACCAATGATGGTAAGATGATGTCATGGGGTAGGACTGGATAAGTCTGACTTCTTCCTACTCCATTCAAGCATGTACTAGGTATAAGCAAATTGATATTGGATTATGTGTATGTGTGTTGTCATATCAACTGTTTTTACATGCTTGAAAGAATAAATCAAATCAAATCAAATCAAAATGACTTCTAAATCTCCCACACTCTACACACCTACTTTCTGCATTTTTTGCTCTTCATTTCATTTTCCCTTTCATGCACTCACTGTCTTTCTTAGTCTGTTTAAAAGACTTTTTTTAAAATTTCATTCTCTCAATGTGACAGGATTCTAAGGTGGGTTTTGGTTTTGCCATATCAGGAGGCAAAGACAAGCCTCGTCCAGACAACGGGGATACGGGTGTTGTGGTGTCAGATGTGCTGCCAAATGGACCGGCCATGGGCCGACTGTTGTAAGTTGACCACACTGACATGATTGTGGAACCTTTTAAGATTTGACTGTTAATATAAATAAACACATCATCTGCATACATATCTAAATTTTCCCTGAACAACAAAAGCTGACTTCTTTGTGTTTTCTTGTGCCTTACAGCAACAAAGACCAAATTGTCATGGTCAATGGAGTGTCCATGGAGAATGTAAACTCTAACTACACCATTCAGACCCTCAAGACATGTGGCAAGACTGCAAACATAGTAAATACAGCACACACACCACCTAGAACACCTCAAGTACCTCTTGTCTGTGATGTATCACTGCACATTTGTGTGTCTAAATGTCCGACCCTGTCCATTTTTTCCTCTCTAGACAGTGAAACGCCCTCGAAAGATCCAGATCCCAGCCACCTCCAGACCATCTCGGGCCGCCTCCCAGTCAAACCTCCTGGACCACGACAATCACAGGCAAACGCGGCGCTACTCTGACAGCAGTGACAACCGAGATGGCAACCGCTATCCTGGTCATAGCCCTACGAATGGGCAAGCAAGTGCACCACTCCTGATGTCGTCCGGCTACAAGAGGCTGCCATACCAGGACTTCCCAAGCAAACCAATCAAAACTACTCTGGTTAAAAAGAAAATCGCAGATGGTAAATGCACATGGGGAAATCACTAATAATGTAAAATTCACACCTCTCATCCTTTCTGAAGTGCTAATTCCTGTCTGGATTCTCATTGTCTTCCTCTTTGTGCAGAGTATGGACTGAAGCTGGGCAGTCAAATCTTTATCAAGCACATGACAGAAACAGGCCTGGCTGCAAAGGAAGGCACACTGCAGGAGGGAGACCTCATTCTCAAGGTGAGCATTTGACCAATTCATCTGAAACTGTAATATATATATATATATATAGGAGATCTACTGTGGATTTTTTTGTTTGTTTGATTTTGCTGAAAAACATAGAAGAAATCCTCTGGATGTAGTTTTAGGCAGAAGACATTTCATCTCTCATCCAAGATGCTTCATCAGTTCTGTCTGACTGGTGGTGAGCAGGAGGTATTTATCCCCCTGGGTGGTGTTTCAGTCCTTCCACAGCCAACAATGCCCCCTAACGACTGTGTCATTGTGGTCTCAGTCCTTTGGTGGTCTCAGTCCTTTGGTGGCCAAGAATGTCCTCTAACCCTGACTCTAGTCGTTAGGGTCAGGTATCGGTGAGAGTCTGTCTTTGAACCCTCACATGTGGACCGACGCCTATTGTCGTGGAAGCTTTCTAAATCCATCAGTAGTATGTGAAGGAAGGTAATCCTCAGTTTGTGTTAATTGATTTATTTCCTTTGATAGATCAATGGCATGACGACAGAGAATCTATCTCTGCTAGAGACCAAGCACCTGGTGGAGAAGAGCAGAGGCAAACTGACCATGACAGTGCTCAGGGATGACCGCAAGTTCCTGGTCAACATCCCAGAGGTGGAGGACAGCGCCCCCAACAGCGAGAACGACCGCCGCCGAGACAGCAGTTCCGAGCTCGAGGGTGAGGGAGGGAGAGAGGGAAAGTTTAGGCACTAATTGTGTGTATTATGGACTGAGGTGAGAGTAAAAGCAGGTCTGCTGAGAGGAAAGACACTGGTATGAAGGAGGGAAAATAAATAAAGAAGAAATAAGTGTAGAAATCATTGAGGGATTTGCATATTTTTTGGGCTTACTGATTGTAGTTCTTTCCTGTTTTCTCTCAGACATTTCAGACATTGATGTCCCCACTCACAGAGCATCTCGTCAACCCACCAAAGACAAACGGACACGCAGGCAGGCACAACACCCGGCCCACCACATAATAAAACCTACAGTATAATAGACCTATTGAAGAAGCATTGTTGTGCACCTATAATATTTTGTTTTAGTTGTTTTTTTACAGTGTAATTTGCTGTTTCACCACTGATGTGTTAATTTCACTTTCTGTCCACTAGGCCATTTTCCATGTCCTCAGTCGTTAAATTGTGATTTGATTTTTAATAGTAGTTTATGTTTGTCATTTTCTCAATGTGCACTTTGTTGTCTTCCATGAAGCCCATAAATGTAATATATCTAGAGCAAGCAAGCAGATGGTGAACACTATTAACAGTAATATAATGCTTTAGGCTGCACTTTGTGGTTTTCACGAAGTAAATCCTTATTTGGCTTTCTGTAATGGCTCCCCTTTCCTAAAAGCACTGAAGAATATTTATCTCTTCTTCTTTGTCTTTTTAACCTAGAATGAGAGCTGATCCTCCTCTTTCCAAGTCTCGGGATTCATCACCCATACGGTCAAAAGCTTATGCCCCTCGCCGAGGTCAGTCCCACAGAGAGTCACTCATTCATACCAGTAAGAAGTTGATCACATAGTCAGACAATTGTATGACCTGTAGAAACATTCAGCCATGTTGAGCTGTGACTGCTACCGTGTTAGCAAAAATCAGATGTTTCTGTAGTTGTTGTAGTTGTAACACTGACAAGATGTAGGTAGGTACATAATAAAAACCCATTAATGACATTTCCAACTGTTGATCATTGGCTTTTCAGTTCCATCTGAGTCGGAGTCTGACCACAGCGCCTCTCCTCCGACTGTCAACCCAGACATGAGGGATCAGCCCACCAAATACAAGTCAGTACAATTATTTTATCAAGTTGATAAATGGAGATGTTTTAGATGATATTGTTTATTATTTAGGAGCTTGCACCCCAACCATCATTTGTTTATTTTACAACCATCTTGGGTAAGTTCCCTGGCTGCTGCAGACTTCTAAAACCGGAACAGGAGATTAAGTATTTTTACAACATATTTGAAACCCTTTAGATGTACAAAACACAGAGGTCAGGAACTCATTTTTTCTTCCTGTGTTTGAATTTGGTTATCCATACAGCTGTGGAGACATTTTGAGATATTTATTTTATTTTTAGCCTTTTAGGAAAAACAAACTTGGAGTAAAAATTAATGCTTTGAGCCCTCCATTTTACTCTGTTGAAACTTTCTCTTAAAATATTGTAAATTCAGAAATTAGCATGTAGGATGCTAAGATTGTAGTTTTGCTCTTTCTGCAGAACTCTCTCCGGTGTGTCCACCCTCCCCAATGCCCTATCCTCTCCTGTATCTACCGGTTCTCGCCCTCGTAGACCGGTGTCGGAGTCGGACTCGGATCGCAGTGCTTCTCCTCCTCCTCCTCGTACGGACATCAGATACAAGTAAAGACAAAACTTGTTTCAACTCCGGTGTTAAACTTGAGAATTTGATGATTAAAATGCTGAATAACAACATGAAAAGTGAAATCTCTTCAGTAGGATTAAAGTGTGCCAGGAGCTGTTAAGCACCTTTAAGATGTTTGGTCCAGACACAGCAATGTTGGAAAATCTTGTGTTCCACCAGATTATTTTCTAACAGTGTTTTTTTTTTTTTTTTTTTTTGTTCTTGTTGTTCTGCGCAGAGTTCTCCCTGATATACAACCCCCAACCTTGAAAGCCACTCCCATCGATGTTCGTCAGGAGCAACCTCGAAAGCTGAACTCTCCTGTTAGAATTCCACCCCCAGGTCAGCACACACATACATGCAGAGTTGTGTTATCCTGGCTTCAAGAGACTTGACATTGACTTAGATTCATTCTCTGATGACCTACCCACTTATATTTTGGCGACTTGCTTTTTTGTCCCCTTAAGGACATCAAATCTCCTCAGTGTGACAGATTTATGTCCCCACAACATGAGTAATACCAGCTCCCCAACACACACATACAAACGTCCAGCTTCACTGTGATGGTACATATCCGGAACTTTGCCTGATACCTTTTTGACAATATTTGCTTCATCTTTCCATGTTTGCTGATAAACGGATGTCAACAGACAAACACAGCTTGCGTCAGAGCAAAACACAAAGTTCTCTGTGCAGTATTTTCATGTTAAAATGGAAATCACTTTCCTCTATTTTATACTAGTGGTGTGATTTTTGGCCTTGTTGCTCTAAAAGCATTATTCTTGTAAGTCCTGTTGCAAATAAGATTTTTGTTTTGTACCACAAAGTTTTCATGTGTCATGAGACTTGATGTCTCACATGTAACAGGCAGCATAGAGGCCAGTGGCAATTAATTACACTTATCAACTACAGTTTAATAATTGTTGCAAACATATTAAAGGGTCACTTTATCTATGAAAACATTGAAATGAAATGAAATGACAACAACAAAAAGGAATGTCTTAAATTAAATGTTTAAAAGATTAAATATAAAGCAGTACATTTGTTAATTTTAAAGACACTGTGTCAGGTTAAACCCCACTGGCACAAAGCAAAAAAAAAGGTAGAAAACAATTCTTGTCATTTAACACTGCAGCACAGTGAAAGCTGTACTTATTGCACTTTTAAATCTACCATATTTTATGTGTTTTTCAGATTCTGAGTCTGAGTCGGACAACAGCTTGGTGCCTCCTCAGAGGCAGAGCACCTCATACAATCAGAACTCTCTCAGCAGATACAGGTACAGATGAAGGTCTGCTGAACACAAACCTCCAACTCCCCCTTACCCCTCCCCGAGGCCCAACAAGATTTCATGGACTGGAAACTGTGCAGACTGTATAAGCCTGTTCTGTTATTAATATTGGCTTATAGCATGTTTTTGTTTACCTTTAAACCTTAATTTGCCCCTTTCTTCCGTTCTGTCGTAGGACTTTATTTGAGACAGTCATTTAGTACCTAAAAGCATTCTATAGCCTTTGATTTTGCTAGAATTTTGTTTTCTACCGTATACCAAGTGTTTGTGTTGTTGTTTTGTTAACCAATAAAATAAAAGTGGCTTTCACTAAGCATTTTCCTTTCCTGTATGTGGCTAAGTGTTGAATAGATGGAGGACACTTAGTAGTAAAGTAACTATATTCCAGTCAAACATCTGTACAACATTTTCCCAATTTACTGATCAGTTTTTGAAAATCTGCATGTTTTATACAGCCTGTTTAAAATTCATAGTAAACCTGAGCTATAAGATCGAGCAAGACATAATACTGCTGAATGGTTAATGTTTGATCAGTCACAAAGCAGTTAACCATCAGAGAGCAAGAGCTTCCCTCAGAGATACTAAGGTGAATATTCAACCTTTCAGTGTCATGCTCTCATCATTCATCATCATATTAGCCACAGGTACCCCCCCACCCCCAAACGTAACTGAGATTTGTTGTCTTCCTTCTCCTTCACTCCCGCCTCCCTCTCTTCTTTTCCAGAGCACTGCCACATGTTGCCCTGCAGCCCCAGGTGGAGCCGCCACGATGGAGCGTCACCAGCAATCCACCTCAGAAAGGTGTGTGTGTGTGTGTGTGTGCGCGCGTGTGTGTGTGTGTGTGTGCGTGTGTGTGTGTGTGTGTGTGTATAAAATACAGTGAGGAACAGAAGTATTTGAACACCCTGCGATTTTGCATATTCTCCCACTTAGAAATCATGGAGGGGTCTGAAATTCACATTGTAGGTGCATTCCCACTCTGAGAGACAGAATTAAAAAAAAAATTCAGGAAATCACATTGTATGATTTTTAAAGAATTTATTTGTCTTGCACTGCTGAACATAAGTATTTGAACACCTGAGAAACAGCAAGAATTCTGGCTCTCAAAGACCTGTTACTGTGCCTTGAAAAAGTCCACCTCTACTCCACTCATTAATCTAAATTAGTAGCACCTGTCTGAACTCTTTAAAGACACCTGTCCACCCCACAGTCAGTCAGACGCCAACTACTACCATGGGCAAGACCAAAGAGCTGTCAAAAGACACCAGAGACAAAATTGTGGACCTCCACAAGGCTGGAAAGGGCTACAGGGCAATTGCCAAGCAGCTTGGTGAAAATAGATCAACTGTTGGAGCAATTGTTAGAAAATGGAAAAGGCTTAAGACGACTGTCAGTCTCCCTCGGACTGGGGCACCATGCAAGATCTCACCTCGTGGGGTATCACGGATGATGAGAAAGGTGAGGAATCAGCCCAGAACTACAAGGGAGGACCTGGCCAATGACATGAGGGGGGCTGGGACCACAGTTTCAAAGGTCACTGTAGGTAGAACACTACGCCGTCATGGTTTCAAATCATGCATTGCACGGAAGGTTCCCCTGCTCAAGTCATCACATGTCCAGGCCCGTCTGAAGTTTGCCAAAGACCATCTGGATGATCCAGAGGAGGCATGGGAGAAAGTCATGTGGTCAGATGAGACCAAAGTAGAACTTTTTGGTCTAAACTTCACTCGTCGTGTTTGGAGGAAAAAGAAGGATGAGTTGCATCCCAAGAACACCATCCCTACTGTGAAGCATGGGGGTGGTAACATCATGCTTTGGGGGTGCTTTTCTGCGAAGGGGACAGGACGTCTGCACTGTATTAAGGAGAGGATGAATGGGGCCATTTATTGTGAGATTTTGAGCAACAACCTCCTTCCCTCAATCAGAGCATTGAAGATGGGTCGTGGCTCATGACAACGACTCAAAGCACACAGCCAGGATAACCAAGGAGTGGCTCCGTAAGAAGCATAT